TAAATGCATCTGTTTCGTTTTCGATGCGCCACCCTGTATATCTATATACATTGCACAAAAAACGATTTCAGATTCAAATGAGGCAGCTTAAAGCAAAAAATTTGCACAACATGCGCCACCTAACTGTGTAACTTGAAACTGTCAGAACTTCAAGAAGAGGGGGAAATTCCATTTGTCCCCACTCCATTGACAACGGGATCGAAAAACCTTTGTAGTCGACATGACCTCTGTATGACGTGGATATGACGTCTAACTGAGGTCGATATGACAGTCGCTCGCAAAAATAATCGCGCCATGTAACCAAATGATCCTGATAAATTGAGGATATGACAACGACGACAGTAGATAGGGTTTGTATGTTCTTTGACGCCCTTGAGCGCCGACCTTCGGTGCCAAACGACCTTGAAGTGTGACCTTGAATTTTCGAGTGACCTTGAAATGTGACCGTGAAATGTGACCTTGAGTTTCCGAGTGACCTTGAAGTGTGACCTTGAACATACATATATGACCTCAAGCACTCTAGACCTTGAGTGGGTGTGACCTTGTAGGAGTGAACTACCTTGAGATGTAGAAGGGATGACCTTGGAAATATGTGCTTAAATTGTGGAACGCGCGGAGAGAAGTCAGTTGTTAGCAAATAGTGTGTAAGAAGCAATGAGTCTACAGAAATTTAAGTTGCCTACGGTGTGGGAAGGAAAGCCTGTGGCGGTGGTAGGACAATTTAAAATAAAGTCTTCCACTCAAGAAGAAGAAAATTGAGATGATGATCGATGGCTCATGGATACCACACCACCTCACCAGCTGACGGGATCCAGGACGCCCATGGACACTACACCGGTTCGGCGGGATGGATTCCGAAGATATGGACCCAGGAACCCTGCTCCGGAAGTGCCAACGGAAGAAAATTGGGATGATGATCCACCTTCTGAAACGGGATCCAGGACGCCCATGGACACTACACCGGTTCGGCGGGATGGATTCCGAAGATATGGACCCAGGAACCCTGCTCCGGAAGTACCAGCGGAAGAAAATTAGGATGATGATCCACCTTCTGAAACTTACATCCCTAATGTAGAAAATAGACCCCTTATTACGGATGTACCTCCAGGCATGTCGCGTAATGCGAGACTGAGATGGAGGATGCAGGAAAGAATTAGAATCCGCCAACTGCAGAGCAATGAAGGAAGCAGAGGTGCAGAGAGTGGATATATTGCTAGCAGACGGAAGCAGAGTTGAAGAGGGTGGAAACAATGTTGGCAGAAGACAAACTCAGTGGGGCGGTCAACGAGTGCACCAACAAAAGTAATAAATGCAATAAAGGTGACCATATCAATATAATTCCAAAGACCGTATCCTTCAACGAAACCAAAAACAAAGTATATACCATGTATGCAAGGCAATATGCGTACAAAGAAGCACGAGGTAGTAGCTGGGAGGTAGCAGATAGATGTAGGTTTCAAAGGCGAGTGCAATCTACGTGACACTAGATTAGAGACAAAAAGTGTTTACAGAAAGGTTTGAAAATGTAAATTAGTGAAGTGAAGGTATGTCTGTGATATGCATAAGATTAGTATGAAGTTAGATTTTGTAAGTTTTAACTGTAAAATAAAATTGTAATGTGATATAAAGAAAAAAGGGAAAACCCACGCTTAAAATAGTGAAGTTTGGAGTGCACGTATTGCAATCGAGATTAATAGAATCAAACGATTCAATGTCGATGCAGTGTGATTGTACAAATGAAAAGATATTCTGTAATTTGTGTAAATATTCCTATAAATACATATTGATAACCATTTACATGCTGACGACTTATTGAATAAAAAAGCTAATATGTTTTGATAATTGTTTTATTTAAAAAAATTATGACATGATAAACTTCTTATACAAATAAAATACGTTGGATAGTGCGCACATGGTGATAAGCTTGGAGTGATAGAAACATGCAGTGCTAGCGGGTTCAAATTCGATGACGGGTTTGCGGGAAAACCGTCTCAAGTAGTTTGCTTTTTCGATTCCTTTGACGAAAATTCGATCTGCATGCTTCGTTAAGTCATCCATAATTTTTGGAAAGGTATGTAGTGGAGTAAAACCAGAGTTCCAATTTATACAGTGATGAAGCTGCATCAACCAAGTAGCTTGTGTTTGTAAGTCCGGTGGGAGCAGATCCAGTGCAAAAGAGGACTTGAAGACATAGTCACATACATATTTGTTGTCCATCATACTCAGCAACTTCTTTAACAATAAATTTATTATGTTCGATTTTGAATCCTTGCACATCCAAAACAAGATTCATATTCGCAAAACAGCAAAGTGATGGAAAACACACTGTTGCAAGCAATATGATCCAATGTCTTGTCTTAACTGTTCAAGTTTAGAGACGTATCGCTCAAGAGCTTTGTAGTAAACGAGCTTCATAATAAAACTGACCAGGAAATGTGGGAAATGAGGTTTTTATAGACTCAAGTTTAAGGTTGTTTAACGATTTTTTGTCAAAGGGTTGTAATAAAAAAGACGATCATGGAGAATAAGGCAATAAGCGGACGAGTTTGGCGGTATATTTTCACTTGGTTTTTTCAACAAAATGTCGTCTCACGTGTAATATTTTTAACTTGTTCGGATGGATTGATATTTTTAAAATTTGACGAAGGTATCTGTCGTTTTTCAACAAGCCCAATGTCCCCGTCCTTTGTTTTTATACTAATTATAAGTTCGTTCTTCTCTACGTTCGTTTTGAAACACCTTGTGGCTGCAACCTCACCGACGAAATCCTGATGAAGGCTCCATAGAGAATGCCGAAAGCTTGATTTTATCGTCAAAAGAGTCAACTTAAGCGTAAAAGATTTGCCAATTTCCCAATTAACAATTAATTGTATTTTGTACACCAACTAATTGATACACCTGCATATCAAGAGTATCTTGAAGGCTTTCACCCTGTACCTCGAAAATATGTTGATGAGTCAATTCGTGGGAACGAGCGCGAGTTTGATCGTTATTATGGATTAACACATGATATTGTTTCTGACAAATTTCAACTCGGTAAAAGTTCGGTTACGCTAGACGGAGCAAATATCGTGGTGGAAAATGTAACATATCCTGGCACACCTGAACTATATGAACTGCTTTCAAAAAAGAACCAATTGGTTATAAGCAGAGTGATCTAAATCAGTATATGGATATACTACGTCACACAAATGCATATCGCAGAAATTTTGAACCTAATACTCAAATACGGGGTAGTACGTCCTACAAATATCGAAATATAATTCGACCATACTTACATCAGCATAACATTCTGAAGCAGCAGGGCATACTCAGATCCGGCTCCTTTGAGAAATCTCCACCTCCTAAGAGTCAGTTACGACGAACACACTCATTCAAACATACAGGTCAAGGAATGTTCCACTTATAAAATAAACCAATCGACTACATCTATTTTGATGATCCAAATGAATTGGTTGCTCGTTTACGTCTGTTGTTAGCTTCACAGTATGCTGGTAATCATGGACATCGTAACGAGATTATGTCTATAATTGAGGAGTTACGTGAATTAAAAATTATAAAATGAGAAATGAATTTGTAACGTAATATTACTTTATTTACATTGCTGCAGTTGTAGGATCAAGATGCCAATTGATAAATTTGGAAGACATATGCTCCGCTCAAAAAAGACGGACACTGCTGCAATCTTCGGTACTTTTCTAAGATCCAACCTATCCAGCGTATGTGTGGTACCCACTTATTCCTCCACATCCAGCGAGCAGTTTTACACATTTAACGACAATAGCAAGGACTATATCGTTTCTGTGACAGGGATTGTTGATAGTATAAATGTTCCGCCAAAAGTAAGAGTGACAATTGGTTTAAATAGTCTCACCGACAACACACCTCTCACGAAAGGTGATATTCTCCATTTCTTCACATCTAAAGAACCCAGAGCAGAGCAGCTTATAGCAAATATTGTAATGCTCTGTCCATTGATACAACAATGATCGACTTTAAAAAGCAGGTTGTTGAAGAACTGCATAAACCAGCTCGACGAAATTATAGACGTCGGCGCGTTATTCTGAATGGGTCAACGATCTCCTGCAGGCAGATTTGGTGGAAATGCTTCCGTATCAGAAAGTGAACAAAGGATTCCGATATATTTTAATTGTCATCAACGTTTTTAGTAAATTTGTGTGGGCAGAACCAGTCAAACCAAAAACCGGAAAAGATGTTACAACTGCAATGAGAGCGATTCTGTCGCACATGAAGTCAATTCCAAAAAATGTATAAATAGACTTGGGTAAAGAATTCTACAATAGTGATTTTACGAAGTTAATCGAAGAGTACAAAATTAATCATTACAGCACCTACTTATCGACCAAAGCAAGTGTAGTTGAAAGGGTGAATCGGACTTTAAAGAATCGTATGTGGAAGCAGTTCAGCCTTCAGGGATCGTACAAATTGCTAGATATCCTATCGTCAGTCGTTGACGGGTATAATAACACCAAACACAGTACAATTGGAATCAAACCCAAAGACGTAAACAAACGTACAGAAAAAACATTATTGAATACGGTTTATACACATTTGAAAACGGTAGATCCAAAGGGTGTAAAATATCAAACTGGAAATCATGTCCACATAAGCAAACATAGAACAGCATTTGCTAAAGGATACACTCCTATTGGTCCAATGAAATTTTTACAATTCGTAAAGTACAGTATACCAATTCTACATCATACTTATTTGCAGATTGGCGTGATGACGAGATATTAGGTGAATTCTATGCTGAAGAGCTTCAAAAAGTCAAGTATCCAAACATCTATCTTGTGGAGAAAGTGGTTCGACGTAAAGGCAATAAAGTGCTAGTGAAGTACTTAGGACTGGATAGCAGCTATAATTCGTGGATTAAAAAAAAGTGATTTACTTGTATGACAAATGTACCTCTATTTTCTCTAATGATCTCTATAGCAAACTTTTTTCAATAAAACACTCTACGTAATATAAGATTTTTATTACAAATATACTGAGAATAGTTAGGATAAGTAATTTGAATAAAAGTTCAGTGTTGGAGCTTTGTTGAATTCCTTCAAGTTTGGATATTGGTATGCCAGTTCCATAGCAGTCCTGATGTTCTCCGAATGCGTTACTCCACCGATCTTCAATTTTGATGGTTTGAAAATCTGGAAATCTATCAAAGCTGATACAGAAGGAGTTACCTTGGATCGGATGGAAAATATTATCACTGAAGAAAAAATTGGTTATAATGCCTTCTTGATTCAATACTTCATACCAGTCTTCTTCATTAAACGTAACGCCCTCGGTTTTTAAACCCTTGATATTGATTACAGGTTGGAAGCTCCATTGATATGCTCGCCCAATCGTGATTCATTTTGATTTAGATGACAATTAACGGTGGCTGAGCTACACCACTTTGTACAGATCGTACCCCCTTGTCGTTCTGCACATTTGTAACATGTTTGACACCACCGGCACTACTCATGTTGTAACACTATGTGAAATGTAGAAGACTGGTATGTGATGCTGAATAGCTACTTTTATACAGTGTCGATACTCCCTCCACTCACAAACACTCCCCTCCCAAAAATCCCGCTTGGAGTGATAGAAACATGCAGTGCTAGCGGGTTCAAATTCGATGACGGGTTTGCGGGAAAACCGTCTCAAGTAGTTTGCTTTTTCGATTCCTTTGACGAAAATTCGATCTGCATGCTTCGTTAAGTCATCCATAATTTTTGGAAAGGTATGTAGTGGAGTAAAACCAGAGTTCCAATTTATACAGTGATGAAGCTGCATCAACCAAGTAGCTTGTGTTTGTAAGTCCGGTGGGAGCAGATCCAGTGCAAAAGAGGACTTGAAGACATAGTCACATACATATTTGTTGTCCATCATACTCAGCAACTTCTTTAACAATAAATTTATTATGTTCGATTTTGAATCCTTGCACATCCAAAACAAGATTCATATTCGCAAAACAGCAAAGTGATGGAAAACACACTGTTGCAAGCAATATGATCCAATGTCTTGTCTTAACTGTTCAAGTTTAGAGACGTATCGCTCAAGAGCTTTGTAGTAAACGAGCTTCATAATAAAACTGACCAGGAAATGTGGGAAATGAGGTTTTTATAGACTCAAGTTTAAGGTTGTTTAACGATTTTTGTCAAAGGGTTGTAATAAAAAAGACGATCATGGAGAATAAGGCAATAAGCGGACGAGTTTGGCGGTATATTTTCACTTGGTTTTTTCAACAAAATGTCGTCTCACGTGTAATATTTTTAACTTGTTCGGATGGATTGATATTTTTAAAATTTGACGAAGGTATCTGTCGTTTTTCAACAAGCCCAATGTCCCCGTCCTTTTGTTTTTATACTAATTATAAGTTCGTTCTTCTCTACGTTCGTTTTGAAACACCTTGTGGCTGCAACCTCACCGACGAAATCCTGATGAAGGCTCCATAGAGAATGCCGAAAGCTTGATTTTATCGTCAAAAGAGTCAACTTAAGCGTAAAAGATTTGCCAATTTCCCAATTAACAATTAATTGTATTTTGTACACCAACTAATTGATACACCTGCATATCAAGAGTATCTTGAAGGCTTTCACCCTGTACCTCGAAAATATGTTGATGAGTCAATTCGTGGGAACGAGCGCGAGTTTGATCGTTATTATGGATTAACACATGATATTGTTTCTGACAAATTTCAACTCGGTAAAAGTTCGGTTACGCTAGACGGAGCAAATATCGTGGTGGAAAATGTAACATATCCTGGCACACCTGAACTATATGAACTGCTTTCAAAAAAGAACCAATTGGTTATAAGCAGAGTGATCTAAATCAGTATATGGATATACTACGTCACACAAATGCATATCGCAGAAATTTTGAACCTAATACTCAAATACGGGGTAGTACGTCCTACAAATATCGAAATATAATTCGACCATACTTACATCAGCATAACATTCTGAAGCAGCAGGGCATACTCAGATCCGGCTCCTTTGAGAAATCTCCACCTCCTAAGAGTCAGTTACGACGAACACACTCATTCAAACATACAGGTCAAGGAATGTTCCACTTATAAAATAAACCAATCGACTACATCTATTTTGATGATCCAAATGAATTGGTTGCTCGTTTACGTCTGTTGTTAGCTTCACAGTATGCTGGTAATCATGGACATCGTAACGAGATTATGTCTATAATTGAGGAGTTACGTGAATTAAAAATTATAAAATGAGAAATGAATTTGTAACGTAATATTACTTTATTTACATTGCTGCAGTTGTAGGATCAAGATGCCAATTGATAAATTTGGAAGACATATGCTCCGCTCAAAAAAGACGGACACTGCTGCAATCTTCGGTACTTTTCTAAGATCCAACCTATCCAGCGTATGTGTGGTACCCACTTATTCCTCCACATCCAGCGAGCAGTTTTACACATTTAACGACAATAGCAAGGACTATATCGTTTCTGTGACAGGGATTGTTGATAGTATAAATGTTCCGCCAAAAGTAAGAGTGACAATTGGTTTAAATAGTCTCACCGACAACACACCTCTCACGAAAGGTGATATTCTCCATTTCTTCACATCTAAAGAACCCAGAGCAGAGCAGCTTATAGCAAATATTGTAATGCTCTGTCCATTGATACAACAATGATCGACTTTAAAAAGCAGGTTGTTGAAGAACTGCATAAACCAGCTCGACGAAATTATAGACGTCGGCGCGTTATTCTGAATGGGTCAACGATCTCCTGCAGGCAGATTTGGTGGAAATGCTTCCGTATCAGAAAGTGAACAAAGGATTCCGATATATTTTAATTGTCATCAACGTTTTTAGTAAATTTGTGTGGGCAGAACCAGTCAAACCAAAAACCGGAAAAGATGTTACAACTGCAATGAGAGCGATTCTGTCGCACATGAAGTCAATTCCAAAAAATGTATAAATAGACTTGGGTAAAGAATTCTACAATAGTGATTTTACGAAGTTAATCGAAGAGTACAAAATTAATCATTACAGCACCTACTTATCGACCAAAGCAAGTGTAGTTGAAAGGGTGAATCGGACTTTAAAGAATCGTATGTGGAAGCAGTTCAGCCTTCAGGGATCGTACAAATTGCTAGATATCCTATCGTCAGTCGTTGACGGGTATAATAACACCAAACACAGTACAATTGGAATCAAACCCAAAGACGTAAACAAACGTACAGAAAAAACATTATTGAATACGGTTTATACACATTTGAAAACGGTAGATCCAAAGGGTGTAAAATATCAAACTGGAAATCATGTCCACATAAGCAAACATAGAACAGCATTTGCTAAAGGATACACTCCTATTGGTCCAATGAAATTTTTACAATTCGTAAAGTACAGTATACCAATTCTACATCATACTTATTTGCAGATTGGCGTGATGACGAGATATTAGGTGAATTCTATGCTGAAGAGCTTCAAAAAGTCAAGTATCCAAACATCTATCTTGTGGAGAAAGTGGTTCGACGTAAAGGCAATAAAGTGCTAGTGAAGTACTTAGGACTGGATAGCAGCTATAATTCGTGGATTAAAAAAAAGTGATTTACTTGTATGACAAATGTACCTCTATTTTCTCTAATGATCTCTATAGCAAACTTTTTTCAATAAAACACTCTACGTAATATAAGATTTTTATTACAAATATACTGAGAATAGTTAGGATAAGTAATTTGAATAAAAGTTCAGTGTTGGAGCTTTGTTGAATTCCTTCAAGTTTGGATATTGGTATGCCAGTTCCATAGCAGTCCTGATGTTCTCCGAATGCGTTACTCCACCGATCTTCAATTTTGATGGTTTGAAAATCTGGAAATCTATCAAAGCTGATACAGAAGGAGTTACCTTGGATCGGATGGAAAATATTATCACTGAAGAAAAAATTGGTTATAATGCCTTCTTGATTCAATACTTCATACCAGTCTTCTTCATTAAACGTAACGCCCTCGGTTTTTAAACCCTTGATATTGATTACAGGTTGGAAGCTCCATTGATATGCTCGCCCAATCGTGATTCATTTTGATTTAGATGACAATTAACGGTGGCTGAGCTACACCACTTTGTACAGATCGTACCCCCTTGTCGTTCTGCACATTTGTAACATGTTTGACACCACCGGCACTACTCATGTTGTAACACTATGTGAAATGTAGAAGACTGGTATGTGATGCTGAATAGCTACTTTTATACAGTGTCGATACTCCCTCCACTCACAAACACTCCCCTCCCAAAAATTGGCTCAGATGCAATGGAAAATGATACTACCATTCATGAAGATATATTTATTTATGATATATTTCTGTCATACAACACAGAAAGAATTATTGCGTTTTGGATAAATCGCATAAGACACTCAAACATGCAACATAATCTTCAAATTTGGTGGATGGCCATTTCACACCACATGGTCTATAACTCCATCCTAGTGAATTATCTCCAATATTACCTTTGGCTACGTTTTTCTTTAACCATTTAAATACAGTACAATGTCTTATCTTATTTTCTATATCAAATACAAATTTAATATCATGCTGCTGTATCACATCGATTAGACTATTCAGTGATGCACAATCAGCCAGATATACAATTTTACATATGGTTTCATCGATATGGGATACACTGTCTTTATATCTCTTAGTAATATTTTCTACAGGATGTGGTTTATCTACATCTTCATAGTTACTGTCAGATAACAACTTACACAAATAGTATTGTTCATATGCTGATGGTGTGCAGTGCATGTTTGCCAGCAGGTCTCCAAATTCTTTGCTGCTTAAAACCTCACAACCTCTATCCTTTACACTTTGTAGCGTTTCCTGTACCACCCAGTCAAGATGTTTCTTGCTTGTTATTGCACTGGAAAGCACATCGGGATAGCAACTATCTGCATTTAAAATCCAGTTGAATACTTCGTCGGGTACTGTAATTTCCTCCAGTACAAAACTCAGTACTGGAAATTCTCGTTTTTCTGGATTTTGAGACACAAACTGTCGGAGCTGTTTTTTCAACACCTCTTCAGTTACATGACATAATTGCATGAACAGTGAATAGTTTGTCTTGGTACTCATCTTTAAAACTGAAGAAGGTGAGTGGGTAAAGCATATATTTATATTCTTGTCCCCACCACAAACCTCAAATTTCTGATTATCTCATCTGATCACTAGTCAACTCACTGGCTTCGTTCATTAGGCGCAGCAAGAGGTCCAACCGCTCTTCGTCCGACATGTTATGAAAGGTGATACCTTGATGACCCCAAGCTAATGTCTTTGTTGAGTTTGGTATCAAGAAACGTTTATCGTCCATACTGATTAATGCCACTTTTCTTATATAATTTGTATATATATTGTGCGACTCCGATTTAAATACATAAATCGTACAGTAAACAGATGTCCATTTATCCTCAACAATATCCTTATAATGTAACAAATGTAATTGATGTTTCACACATTTGGCTCGTTTAACCACTTGATCTACAGCATCGATACAGTATGCTTTGGGACCTGTACCATAAAAGGCAGACAGTACCTCGCCACCATATTCGTCTTTCATCTTACCCAACTCTGACGCTGTTCGAGGCATGTTATGTGGGTTGTCAGCATCATAATATTGGATGTGTCAAAGTAATGCATGTGTAATTTCATGTCTTCATAAAAAATAACGGGTTCAACATGTACTATTAACGAATCAGTGTCCGTGTATGCTAACGACACCTTATCACTATATTGGTGTTTCAGAAAGTTATAGAAAAAGTCATATATTACCGTTTTTGAGACATCTAAAATACAAAATCCAACATATGTGGGACGGCAATAATCAATCATTGTTTTTTTCTCCATTTGAATAGCTACTAAGTTTTCAGAAAATATTCTGTGTTCTTTAAAAGTTGGTTTACTAATATAATTTTCAGCAGCTATTCTGTGTTTCGATTTTTCGTATTGAGTCGCTAATTTGATATCGACTCTGTTCTCCATGTTTTCAATCGTTTTGTCAAATATACAATTGATCACTAGTTTGAACAAATGTCTTTCAAACGGATTCAGTGCTGCATTTCTAAGTGCCGTGTTTAACAGTATATAGGACTTTAACCACGCTGCTTGTCTGAATTTGATACCTCTATGAATTTTCGTCAAGATAATACCATGTTTCAAACATTGTTTTAGATTACGATAATGGATAATGTAGCGCCCTTTGTTGTCTAAATTTGGAATAAATTTTGAGCTTTGACTGTTGGGTGGTTTAAAATTTTCTGGACAAAATGGTAAATCATTGAAATAATCATGAAGCTCATTCGGTATTGATAAATCAACTTCTAATGCATATCCAATATCCGATGTATTTGAAATTTGTGTAATTGTTTCTTTAATCCTATCCATCTCAGGTTGCATTAACCAAGCAAAATGACCAGTCGGTAGGTACTGCTGCATAGATTATCCATACAAATTCGATACATCAAGGTACATTAAGTACGATGATGTCTTTGATGGATCGTAATGAGGTAAAAATTTATTGTTCGCCTCGACTTTCCGTGAGGTACACGTGCTGACTCCTCCACGGATCTCCTTTTTAAAAAATGTACCATATCCACATCTGTAAGCAGCTCTAACTCTACTTTAGTATATCGTAGCATTGCATCCCAACTCAAACCAGGGGCTGTAAAATAGTAAGCTGGATCCAGCTTGTACGTTTTTAAACACAAATCTCTAAAATTTTCAAAGATATCTGTTAAAAGAAAAACATCCGAAGTCAAGTAAAAGTCCGAGTATTCCCCCAAATTTTTACACCCCTTTATTTCCCAAACATGATCCTCGTCTGCAATGTGTTCAACACGTATTTCGTCATAAAAGTCTTGTTGGGATGGTAAACATGTTTCATTGTGTTTATCAAATGTTTTAAGATATGTATAGGGAAATATACCTTTACATCTCATGTAGGAGAATCTTTCGTTCTCGGGAAACACTTTTCGTACTGTCCGACATTGCTCTGCGCTTAAAAAGGATGCCAAAGTTTCTAATTTTGACGAAAGAAACTGATATGAATCGACAAATCTCATTTGCAAAAATACGGTTTTTTGTTTTCCCTCTTGGGTAATGTACGTGTCTACCGGTACTAATTTCGTAAATGACACATATCTTTCAAAGGATTGTGGAATCACTTTAACTTGTTCTTGATTCATAGCTAAGTGTTTTATGAATAGATGAGCGTCATAGTTCTTCAGATTGTGGAAAAATATTGGAATATAGTTCGGAGTCTTATAATTGAGATTGCATTTACTATGCGCCGCACCACGATATTTCCCTGTGAAATGACAGTGATCCCTAACTTTTATATTTGTATTGGTGAATGGTTGTTCACAAATGAAACATGACTCTGCTTTATTAAACTAAGCTTTATCGTACGTAGTCATTTTCATTTCTACATTTTGTGTTAAATATTGATAATATATTAATTTAAGATAAGCCTCTAATCGAGTAACAAACATTTGTGCTGCATCCCCACCCCTATATAGTTCTAATTTGGATAGTGAATCATTAAATGAGCATTTGATGTAATCAGCAAATGAGGATGGTTTATGTTCATACTTTCTGATGGTACATAGATTCTCTGAATCGCTTGAGTCATTTTCTATCGGAGCTAACATGCATTCAAAGTCGGCATAAACGCAAAATGGTAGCCTTAATTATTTGTGATGCTGTTCAAATTTTAGTACATTATCCATTACCGTGATTCCAAGTCGATCAACTCTCGTTCATTTGGGAGCTTAACTGATATATATTTGCAATAGGTTCGCATGTGAATTTCTAATTTTTCTTTTGAGGCAAAGTATTGTAAACACCCATCACAAAAGTGCTTTACTCTCGTATTCCGCGACAACTGACTTGAAACGAGTCTTGAAAAGTTGGTAATTAAGCAGTAACGATGGTTTCCTTCTGAATCAACAATAAGTAATAAATTCAGATGAGTATGTTGTTTTTGCGCGGTGTAATGTAACGGTCCCACCACCTGATATTTAGGCTTCCCATCAATGAATTTCTACTAATATTCGTCATGTATTTGTCTGGGCGGTCCGTAGAACCTCTGCCCATTAGTCACTGTCTGATGTACGTTAGTCGAATCTGTCAGTCCTGGTTGCCCAGAAACCAGACAAAGTCAAGGAAAAAGAGAAAGGGAAGAGAAGAAAAAAGGAGAAGAACAAAGAAAAACAGATATGCTTACTTTAAGAGGAAACACCTAGGCTATTTGACTTGGTTCACGGATTAATTTTGAGGTGAACTAAACAAGTTTTTTGATTCGGTTTTGTTAGAGTGTAATTTTGAGTTTACTAAAGATTCACGCTAAATTTTGATTACATGTGCGAGCCGTGGCCTTGAATGTTTACGAACTTGATCCACTGTGTAGTCCACTGAGTCACGCAACAGAGGGTTGCTGTGCGATTCCGCTTGACTATAACGTCGCTGCGCCTGAAGCTTGACATAATCCCTCAAGTAAGGAATGTCAAGGTCTCTGTGTAGTGTCTCATTTGAGACATACCATGGAGCGTTGCAAATTGTCCGCAAAGTTCTGCTTTGCAGTACTTGAAGACTTTGCATGTGTGTCTTGGCAAGAAAACACCAAGCCGCACATGCATAAGTAATCGCTGATCTAATAATCATTTTATACAGGGTGACTTTAAAGTTGAGTCATTAATTTTCAGATAAAGATTGTAGAAGGAAGATAAACCAAAATCTGTGTGTAAAAATAAAAATAAGAATTAAAAAAATGTTACCTTGTTTTATAAAGTATCCTCCCGTCAAGTATTTCAGTGCGAACCTGTAGTTGATCGTGCGGTCTTGGAGTACCGGCATGCCCTCCCCTGTGAGGTCTTAAGTCACCTGATTCACGAGCCCTTTCTACTACATTAACAAAGGCACGAGGGGTTGGTTGCACTCGATTGGGAAACCGATCCGCATAAAGACTCCCCCCCCTCCGTAAACAAGAATCATGTCCACAAGTTCAGCATTTTCGTAAACATGTGCATTTTTTATTTCGTTTGAGCCACGCAACAAACACCACTATTCACTCACGCGTTACCGACTGACACATTGACGGAAAACAACTGAATAAAATTGTACATTGTAATAAAAACATCGTTTCAAACTCTTTCGCTTTTTGGTTTCCGATGCGATGAATGGATAAGGCGGATTATATCCGTGGTTGCCAAACACGAGCACATAATATTATTATTGAGACAGGGAGGTACTCAAACTTCTAAAGGGCTATAACTTTGTTACTTTAATTTTACCAGAAAAATGTTAAAGGAAAAAAGCATTTCTTTTGATCAGATCTACTCACTGTTAAAATAAATGACTCAACTTCGAAGTCACCCTGTATAGTCGAACTTTGTTTATCAAACTCAATTTGGAGGATCTACATAACAAAGGATATAGTTGCCGAAGCGCAATTTGGAATTTTGTTTTTATGGATGCTGTATGTTTCTGCCAGGTCATGCCTTTATCAAGGGTGACACCGAGATACTTGGCAGAATTTGTCCATGGTACACGATTTCCGTCTACAGAAACTTCTGCTGGGGGGCCGGGACGTTTTTTGGTACAATAAATAGCCTGCGTTTTCGAATGATTAATCAGCCACCGTTCCACCCACTCTAGAACTTCGTCCACCGCATTCTGCAACCCATCGTGAACCAGATCACCAGTACACGACTGGGCGACAAGTGCAGTGTCGTCAGCATAGAGGTAGACTTCACAGTTGCTGGGGGAAGGGACATCATGGATGAAAAGCGAATAAAGAATTGGTCCTAGGACCGAACCCTGAGGAACACCGGCCCGTACTGGCCGTGTTGTTGACAAAACATTGTTAATTTTGATCCGAAACTTCCTTCCTTCAAGAAAGGATTTCAGTAATTTTAGAAGCCAAAGGGAAAACCCTGATGGATTAGTTTATAGAGGAGGCCCGCGTGCCACACCTTGTCAAAGGCTTTTGAGACATTCAAAAGCAAGATGCCAGTACTCATGCTGAGAGTGAATCCTCTGGTTACATGCTCCACCAGCCTGACTGCCTGTAGCTCGGTGCTATGCTCGGACCGAAAACCGAATTGGACGTCAGGAATCACATGCTGATTTGACGAAAAATTCTCAAGGTGACGATAAATCACCTTTTAGGCGAGCTTAGAAGGAGCTGACAGCAGACTTATGGGACGGTAATCCTGAGGAAATATCGAACCCACCTTCTTTGGAATCATGATGACCTCAGCAGTCTTCCACCCAGCAGGGAAGTACAGGATTTTGAGCGTCGCATTGATTATTGTCACCAACTATGTCAGGGCCTTCGGCGAGAGCAGCTTCAACGCCTTGTTGGTGATTTGATCCTCCCCAGGTGCTTTACGCACCTTGAGGTCTTTAATATGACTTAGTAACTCCGCTGGTGTGCAATGTGGAAACTCGGAGGGTTCCGCTAATGTGCTATGTGGAGCCTCACACTGAATCTTCTGAAGAAGAGTCATCTGAAGAGGATTCAGTGCTTCCGCTAACGCCGTTGGCTCTACAATATCTCCTGACGGATCGTACGATGTGATGTTCCTCGTCGAGGTCATTATCGAGATCATAGTTGGGAGAGAACTGTTTTTCCATGGCATCAGCGAAAACCTCGACCTTATCCTCCGTTCTGAAGACTATGCCTTCAGGACCGTGGATGTGTGGGAGTTGTTCTCGCTGCTTTCCGTTTCTGAGTGACTTTGCTACCCTCCAGAGAGGAATACTTGAATCAAGCATTCGCGCCAGAAAGTCGCTGCATTGCTCGTTGCGGAGTTTGTGCAGTGCGTTTCTCACTTCATGGACAAGATTTGTAGCCCTACGAATGTCATCAGGATGACAAGACCTTTTTGCCTGCTTAATAGCGGCTCTTTTGCCAGAGATTTTCTGACGAATGTCCGCAGGCAAAAAAGGTCTGCCGTGTCGTTGTACAGGGAATACAGCTGCACGCTGTAGAGCTGCTTGAATGAAACTTGTCCACTCCGCTTCAGCGGCATCTATTCCAGACTCATCATCTATAATCGGGATATTGCGAAACTCTCTAAGGAGCAACTTGTATAGGTCCCAATCAATGCGTTTCCTTGGAGGAGCTGCCTCCTCAGAAGTTTGCTCGATGACCACATCCAAGACAACAGGTAGATGGTCACTAGAGACATCATACAAGATTCGAGAAGAGATACTGTATCTACAGTTTTTAGATATCGCGAAATCGATGACATCTGGTGCCTGAAGATGGTTGAATGGATGATGTGTCGGCTCTTCAGTGCTATGTATAAGGTACCCATTTCGCATCACATGGTTGTACAATCGAACCCCACTAGTGGAATTCAATATAGAATTCCATGCTCGATATTTGCAGTTGAAGTCCCCTGCCACAATAAGCGGACCCGAGTAGTCCAAAAGGACCTCCAGATCCGCCTCTTGTAGCCTGGCACCACACCTGACATACACCGATGTGATCTTCAACGAGACACCTCCCGCCATATTGACCACCACAGAAGCTGCTTCGATGCTATGCATCTTCGCATTAGTGCTTCTATAATAGTCTATACCGCACTTAATCAACACTGCTAAACCGCCGCCTCGACCATTCAATCTGTCACCTCGGATAACATCATAATTCGGGAGAGCTAAACGATCTCCCGGATTAAGCAACGTTTCCTGCAGCAAGGCCACATCTATTCCTTCATCCAAAAGAGCTTGATGAAATTCCCGTTTTTTGAGACTATCCCTCATGCCCAAACAATTCCAAAAAAGAATTTTGATGAATGCAGGCTGTCTACTATTACATTACAAGAAATATCGCCTGCAACGCTTGGGTAGCGCTAATCAGTGGGCTTATTATTTGTTGTAAGGACCTTAGCGCGGTTGCCAGGTCCACATTTTGCGTGCTCAAGGGAGGTTGGGCAGAGGGGGCAGGCAAGGTTGCTTCCCGAGCTGCGTCCGCGTATGACATATTGCGCCTTTGCGCTATAACTTGCAAGTTCCTCCTTGGAGTGAATTTGCAAGTCCGGCTATTTGCGGGATGTCCCTCTCCACAGTTCGCGCACTTGCGTTCTTCCTCTTCTGTGAGGGGGCACAAATGCGTCATGTGGTCCTTTGCACATTTTAAGCATTTGGGCGGTGCAGTGCAATATGACTGCGCATGCCCATACTTTTGGCAGCGGTGACACTGCCCAATGAGTCTGGAGTTTTTCTGAACCTCAACTCGAATGGCCAGTCCCAGCAGTTCGTGTTCGTTGAACACTTGCTGAGACTGTTGAGTCTTGGGCAGTATCACGACCACCAAAGGCATGGGTGCGCCGCCGCGCCGCAGCGCTTCAATCGAATGATGTGAAGAGGGCTATATCCCCTCTGCTCCAGTTCTCCCTTAATCTCAGTATCCGAAAAGTTGACGGGAACTCCTCGAACCACCGCATGGATGTTCCGTTTCGAAGGAAGAGGAAAAGTGTGATGGGGCACTTCTTCCTCTCGGAATAGGCGAACGATCTTACGGTAGTCGTCCTCGGATTTAGGAATAATCCTTATTCCTGCATCAACGGCAACCGCGCGATCTATTTTAATAGCTAGGGAAATAAACTTGAAATTTAAAGTACGCCATCTCGTCCAGTCGCGTAAGACGATCGGGGTTATGCGCCCTTGTCGTGAGGGTTGTGTTGATGCCACGACGGTTGGACGAGATGACGGAGGAAAAGTAACATCGGCTGACGGAGTCACCTGACAGGTAGATAACGTGGTCCCTGGCTTGGTAGTAGAAGCATTAATAGTGGTTCGATTTGATGAATTGGGGAGGTGTGAAATGGAATTGATCCTGTATTCGGAAGAGGAGGAAAGTCCTGGGTTGATCGATCAGCCTTGTCGCCTTTCCTCCTTCTTGATTTTGCTTTTACAAATCCTTCGGTCTGTACGTCTTCGTCTGTGGATGTGAGATGATCATCAGTAACGTTTCTCAGTGATCTTTTTAGGGTCTTTGTCTGTTCTTTAGGGGATTCTTTTGAATTTAGTAATATGGTTACCTGGACGGTCAGGCTGTCAATTTTGGCTGTCTGGTCCTTGATGGTCTTCATTAGGTCTCGAATCTGACTCGCCTGGTCGTCTATAATCAGCATCAGTTTTTCGATCGTTTTCTGCTCCGATGACATCTGCGTCAGTGAGCTCATGTTTTCTGATTCTGCTTGGTTTCCGCCACCGCTCAGCTCTTTCCTCATAGTATGTGGAACTGCGTCGTCTGTTGATCCTCCTGGGTCAACTTCCATCTTTTAAAAACTTTTTCTCGCCAACAAATCTCGGAAACCCTTCTTACAGGGCGTCATCAATTAATTCCTTTTCTAATCCATAAACGTTGATTGATATGTTATTCACGCTTTCAAATTCTGATATTGACTTGAGTGCGACTGGAAATGTCATTCCAGCAAAGTTGAAGCCCGGAACATTCGAAAAATGTGGATATGATCTTGTTAGTGATGATCGACCTTTTGGTTTTACCATACCAGCTACAATTGACCATGCAAAGCAGTACTCATCCTTATTACGTATATTGAGTACAGCTTTTTTGTTCGTAATTTCCTTTGGAAGTGGCAAATATGATGCTGCTCTCAAAGGATTATATTTATTAATATTAATTTCTAAATATAAAATCTTTTCTAACACCCACCCTGAGTCTTTTTCTGCAAAATCTTTAGATTTTTGTTCTATTTTACTTCCCAAATCATGATAGATTGCTTTTAAATTTGATGATTGTGTTATGATAACATTGTATTGTGGGACTTCACCTCTCGTCGGCTTTTAGCTGGTAAGATATATAAACCAAAAAGTTCCATATTTATTTTGAGCGTTGTTTGCTTATGCAATTCATTTTCAATCACCTTTATGGAGTCATGTTCGAGATTATTCATATATCCCGTAACGTTCAAAGCGGTTATTTGATAACTGACTATTCTACTTCGACATACTGACACATTATTGTGTAAAGGTGTCATAGATGTGCCTTATGTTTGATGCTTTTCAGATGTGCTGCATGTGCATTCCTCGGTACCTGACAGTTGCAACTATCACAGCGAATTGTTCTGCTTTCCGCACTCGTCTGTGAGTCGTTGCTGGTGGTTGGACTCATTTGACTCGGTCCCGGTACTGCAACGTTGGCTGTTGAAGGATCCAGTCGTCTGGTATTGAGTCCTGTGGTGGTCTGGGTGATGCTAGCTGTAATAATAAGTTCATAAATATAAGTTATTTAATTTGGCTTAGTTGTTTGTAACCTTACCTTCTACACGTTGTTGTTCGGGTGGACTCTTCTCGCAGACCTCTCTACCATGTCGCAGTAAACCTTTTCGTGCCGAGAATTTTTGCTGGCATCGAGGACATTCCCACTTGTCTGCAGTGCTGCGTGAAGCAGTTGTATTACATGGACGCTTGGATGCGGGCTCCCCATCCTGGCTGCACCACTCTCTACAGTGTCTCAACAAACTTTTTCTCACCTTGAAGGTCCTTTGGCATTCTGGACATTGGAACATTTTGTTGTGAGGCGTGCACGTATCTAATGTGTTTCTAACACCTAAAACATTTATATATATATTTTTCTGCACCTCGCGTTCTCCAGTGGCATCTGACACAAAAAAAACATTGTAGCTGCTGTACATTAATTTGACCTATTTGCAGGCTTCGTTTTTTGTCCCATTTCTACATATCAAGTTCGTCATTCACTGCACACCGTTCCGTTTCGAGTCGTTCTAGTTGCGTGAACGCCAACTCTTCGATCGACGTATCCCGATTGAGTTGTTCATTCACAACACAACGTTCTGTCGCATCCCGTTCAGGTTGCATGAACGGCAACTCCTCGACGTAGGTATCGCGATATAGTGCATCGTCCACATAACATCTATCACTCGCGATCGCGGCAGACACCGATGGCTCTTGCTGTGTTGAGGTGGCTCTCGACATGGATGGCATTGGCTGAGCTCCCAACAAACTCATCTCAAACGATGGCCAAGCATTGTATGCATTCATCGTTGTAGACATATCAATGTCCGGATTGATGGATGCTAACACTGCCTCAATATCGATCTCATTTGAGGAGTTCTGTTGACTTTGGGCGATGTAATTGTTAAGCATGGTTTGCGAGCCCATGCTAACAATTTCGATGGATAACTCATCATTCCCCGAAGTACTAGCCATCGTTTGCGGGTGCCCGTTCAGCTAAGGGTCAACGGTTTCGCGTGGTGGTACAACTTGAATATTTTGCAATACCCGTACACGGGGCTTTACCCAACAAGCAAAGTAGTGCTATAAGCTTTTGGTAAAAGAACCGTTCAGCCATAAAAGTCTCTGAACACCAAAATGCTGCCTTAATGTTGTGTGGAATGCAAATTTGCTTCTGCAACATATTGCTAATGAGGGGTTTAAAATATTCTTATAGCATAGTTATACAACACCTTATAGGACAAATTTTTAACTGTTGCATAAACGTTTATACAACTATTTTATACGGCACATTTGCACGTTACTCAAATGGTTGTATTGTGGCATCCATTGTAACGTTTATGAAACAAACCCGAGCCTTGTTGTTTTCCTGTGTAAATTTACTACTACTTTAGCCAAAAAATTGCTTCCAACGGAAGAACTTATACAACTGTTGTTTAGTAAGTGTTAAAGGCTGTACATATGCAACAATATTACAACTTTTGTACTAAAAAATTGCTGTGCTTGGCATACATTTGTTGCTAAATATTTTGGTATACAACTTCGCCATAACCTAACTTTCTGCTGTCATACTTTTGTTAAAATGCCATAACCAATGTTTTAAGACAAACAACGCATGCATATTGGTTCAAAAGGTTTTATCAACTGTTAAAACAGAAGATATAGATCTGGTACAAATTCTGGGTAAATCATTCGACTCTGTCGGTATTTCATTTCAGACATTTGTCAAATTATTGTATAACACCTGCAGGCAACACCAAAATATTCTAATAAACTAAAGACGATGACATGATTATACACAACCACCCGCCATATTGGGCAAACATTTCTTCCTCTAATTAATTAATATTAAATAATTATGTTTCAGTTCGAAATTATAGATATAAAGTGATAAACATTAGTTTAATTGTGTCTAAATATAAGATTTGTGGAAGATTTAACGCAGATAAGTTCAGTTTTCCATCTTAAAAATCAAGACATACTTTTGATCATTATTAAAATATGAATCAAATACGAAGCCCGTAGAAATTGCGTAACAACTTTGCACGATATTCACAATAAAATTTGCTGCGCAAGTAATTCAATAGGCCTATATTACAGTGTACAAGTTTATCATATACCTGTGTATGAAATTCACAATGGCCGATGTGTAAGTAAACAAGATGACTGTAATGTGTTAGTTATATATTCTTCACTTCGTCTATACAATACATAAGAAATAGTTTGGTTGCAATAAAGTAGAATCACGTAACAGAATAGTTGTATAGTTGACAAAAACTGAATCTTGCACCGACGAAAATGTCCTATAGCGGCTGCAAGAGGCTTACACTTTTGTTGTATAACTGTTACCTGCAGTCCTTATACAGGGTGCGGCAGAGAGGATGGACGGTTTTAAAAAAATCATAAAATAGTTAATTTTTACTCGAAAACAAATTTATTGATGGAATCAGGTTCACAAGGAAATAGCATTTGAGACAGTCAAGTGTGGAAAATCACATCAGGCATGTGGTGGCCGAAATCGTTGATGCAGTGCTGGAGGCGTTCTTGGAAGTTCGGGTTGTAACTGTTGCACCATGGCCAATTTGTAGGGGTGTAAGCGGAGATCCATATGCAAAATTCTCCATACCGAACGATCACTAAGGCGAAGTGCAGCAGCATGTTTCGGGGCAGATCGAGTCGGACTGCGAAGAAAGACCTGTCGAACGCGTTCAACATTTTCAGGAGTTCGAACTGTTCGCGGCGCTCCTCTTGGTCTTCTGTTGATCAGTTCACCACGCCTGCGAAGTGATTCAACCCAACGAAGGAAGGTGTTTCGAGAGGGAACAGCTCTATTCCGATGAATGTTGAAGTGGCGACGAAACTCACGCTGTTCGACGATGACTGACTCATTATTTCGGACGAAACAATCATAGGCGAAAACGCGGTGCTCCACCGTCCAAGGCTCCATAACGACAACTGGTAAAATAATGCTAGGATCTCACGAGTCAAACGGCTCCCTCCCCACCTCTCTCGTAGACGGAGGCGGAGAGTACTGTCCACCCCAAAAACGTCCGTCCTCTCTGCCGCACCCTGTACAACCTCCTTTAATGACTGAAGTGTCCTATTAGGTGTGCCCATTCCGCTTGTATAGCTATTCTAAGAGGGTTTTTCCAATGTTGTTACAGTATACAATGCTGTGTAAGGAATACTGTAAAATCATTCTTGCAACTCTAATAGGAATGATAATTGTTAGTTGGGTAACAGTTTGTCCAGAATCAGGCGCTGACTGTTCGTAATTGCGCAGTACGGGCACTTCTTTTCCAAGGTACACAGACGCGGTCTTGAACACATGTCTGCAATTGAACAAAGATCACAATGTTAAAGACTGAGGCTTGCAACCTGAAGTGTTGGGACTGCAGTGACAGGTACGACTATGAGCACTTATATACAAGTATTTCCCCTCCTACCTCACTTTCACGGATTCTTCCGTTCGACTTTCACGATTTCTAGCATGAATCAACAGTCAAGATTTATTACTTCATTAAAGTTTACTGATCGCGTTTAAGTTTTACATTTATTATCCAATGCTAATTTCGTGACCTAGACTTTCATCCTTAAGAATACTACTACCCACCCATACTTTCTTTGTCCGTTATAGCATCATGACCTCGAATTCTCCCGACCTTGTGACGGAGGAGGAGAGCATCCTTATATACTCACTATAGTCGTCTTTCCATTCCGTCGCTCCCCAGTCATCGTCATGGATGGTCAGGATCCAAATGAACTGTATATCTTCCACGAAGATGGCTTGGCTAGACCACTCCTCTTCGACAGCACAGCCTCTACCGTAATTGCGGGAGATGCTGCACCCGATGTTGGCAATGCTTTGTTAGACGAGTTGTCGACATCGAGTCTGCCGACGAAGATGAGAGGGAGGGCGCGGGGGAGGCATCTTCGTCTGAGAGCGATTCTGAGGTCGAGCTTGATGAGCTCCACGTCGGCCTTGCTCCTCTTGACGACCCACCTGAGGTTGCCATTCCTGAAGCATTTCAGAATGACAATCTCGTGTGGGATCTGGACGATCCATCCAGCGATTCGGAGTATATCAGCCCGTAATGTGTATTAGTTTTAAGGAGTTAGCTTTAAGGATTTAGTTTTAAGATTTTATTTGTAAGGTTGTAGGTTTTAAGGTTTCTGTAAAGTATATTAGCTTTAAGATAATTACAGCCAACCCAATTCACGTTTTTCACTCTAATTTCTCTTAAATGACCGATTTTTGAATTTTTTTGCTATCTGTCTTGCTTCTACAACCTTACACTTATTATTCTCTCTTATCCACACATTTTTTTTCCTTCACTTACCTTCACACTCGATCTCCTTTTCCTCCTAACTTTCCCATTTTCTTTCTTCGGCTGCAATACAGATACTTGCCTCCCAGCGGAATGTTGTCACACTTACGTATACAGGGTGACTTTGAGTTGAGTCATTAATTTTCAGATAATGATTGTAGAAGGAAGATAAACCAAAATATGTGTGTAAAAATAAAAAAAAATAAAAAAATTTTTTTACCTTGTTTTATAAAGTATCCTCCCGACAAGTATTTCAATGCGGACCTGTATTTGATCGTGAGGTCCCCTGTGAGGTCTTAAGTCACCTGATTCACGAGCCCGTTGTACTACATTAACAAAGGCACGAGGGGTTGGTTGCACTCGATTGGGAAACCGATCCGCATAAACATGTGCCATTTTCTATTTCGTTTGAGCCACGCAACTATTCACACGCCTTACCAACTGACACTGACTGTATGTATAACTGAACTGAATAAAATAATTGTAAAAACATCGTTCCAAATTCTTTCGCTTTTTTGTTTCCGATGCGATGAACCGATAAGGCGGATTATATCCGTTGTTGCCAAACACGAGCACATGATATTATTATTGAGACAGGGCGGTACTCAAACTTCCAAAGGGCTATAACTTTGTTACTTTAATTTTACCAGAAAAATGGTAAAGGAAAAAAACATTTCTTTTGATCAGATCTACTCACTGTTAAAATAAATGACTCAACTTCGAAGTCACCCTGTACTATTCGATGCTATTCGCCTTTCGCAGTACAAACACTTTGCTAAGTTCTTACTATGTATGTGGAGCTTATTCACATATCGGTCGCATATACTAAATAGGGCATACTTTGCTCCTATGATACACCTCTCACATACTATTGATCCCATCATTGTGGTGCCGATGTAGTAATATTTCTGACAACGGTCTTCGCTCCTTTCTACACCCTTCGCATAACTTTCTTGACACACTACATATGCATTACTTATTACATTTCTTTCATATATCAATTCATATGGATATCGCACGCTATATCCATCTTGCAGCTCACTCCATTTAATTAGGAATCCATTCCCTACTGACATTACTTCGATGGCGAGTCCCGGTTCCAACACCAATGATTTTCGTCATCCGTTTCGAAGATCCACCCTATTTTATGGGGACGGTGTCGAGTACACGTCCAACAATAAACTAAAAATTTCCCGCAACAACACCAGCTACGAATCCAGCGAAACTCCTTTTCACCTACTTACACCTACTTTTCTTCGCCAATATTATATTCTGCATCCCACTAGTACCGTACCATTTGCGCCACTTGCAACTACAGAACTGACTTCTCTCGGCGAGTTCCACAATTTAAGCATATTATTCCAAGTTCATCCCTTCTACACCTCAAGGTCGTTCACGCCTACAAGGTCACACCCACTCAAGGTCGAGAGTGCTCAGGGTCATATATGTTCAAGGTCACACTTCAATGTCACTCGGAAACTCAAGGTCACACTTCAAGGTCACATTTCAAGGTCACACTGCAAGATCATTCGAAAACTCAAGATCACACTTCAAGGTCACTCGAAAACTCAGTCACGTTTCAAGGTCCCACTTCAATGTCACATTTCAAGGTTGGCACCGAAGGTCAGCTCTTAAGGTCGTTTGGCACCGAAGGTTGGCGCTCCCTTCTACATCTCAAGGTCGTTCACTCCTACAAGGTCACACCCACTCAAGGTCGAGAGTGCTCGAGGTCATATATGTTCAAGGTCACACTTCAAGTTCACTCGGAAACTCAAGGTCACATTTCAAGTTCACACTACAAGGTCGCACTTCAAGGTCACTCGGAAACTCAAGGTCACGTTTCAAGGCCGCACTTCAAGGTCACATTTCAAGGTTGGCACCGAAGGACAACTCTCAAGGTCCTTAGGCACCGAAGGTCGGCGCTCAAGGGCGTCCCAGAACATACAAACCCTATCTACTAACGACTACAAGCAGGGTAGTAGAAAGGCCCCAAAACTCATATTCTACGTATCTACCACTCTTGAACCCTCTCGTTCCGGGACGTCGTTATCACCTCCGCAATTTTCAAAGTGTATCGAAGTGGTTAATAAGAACTAAAAAAACACCGTTTGATCTCAAAAACGTGCCGGTCCTCTTATGGTTCAGAATTTGTTTGCAGCAATTTATCAAAATCGCTTTGCTTTTTCACAGGAGGCGAAAATGCTTCTTGTTTCCTGAAAGTCACTCAAGCCTTATTGGCAGGCAGCAGCGGTGGCCGCTGTAGTAGACTCTTCGGCCTCCTGATCAGTAGCCGTGCGCTGTGCGGGTTCGAGTCCCGTCCCAGGAGAAATTTTTCTCTTGGCTATGGATGTTGTGATTGTCCATAGGTGGTAGACGGTCTCTGACTGTCGAACGCGGAGGTACCACCCGGCGGATCTCGTAGGCGGAGCCAGAATGTGTGCATGTTGCATGCACACGTGTTCACTCGCCAGAGTCCGTGTGGCGTACCCCCTTTCCCATGTATCCCCTATAGCCTCACGGTACCCAATGGGTGCTTAGGCCTCAGACCTTCGTGGTAGTTGGAGTATAAAAAATGCTATCGCCTCTACTAAACTGTACCACCATGCACATTAAAGACGTAAAGCCATCGGGAAGTCGGTCAAACCTATAGGTTTATAAAACAAAATGGCCGAGCCATTTTCAAACGGTCAACATGCATGGGGCTTGTACATCGGTACGAGCTTTCTCAACATTCTTGGTCGAAGAATTCCTGATACTTATAAATAATAAAGTAGTTATTAGTATTTGGATATCTAGATTATCTTACTGTTCATTAAAACTCTATATTTTCTTTGTAGGTAAGTGTTGATTTTTCAGTACTGTCATAAAAAAGACGTCAAAATGACCGCCTTTAAAGAACGTCTTGTTTTTGTCATAAAAATGGGGTCAATAAAGTCGTCATGTTTTAGTCAATGGCGTTTCTGACCAAAAGTAACCGAATAATGGCGTCACCATGTTCACTGGGAAGGGTGAAAGTTGAAAATGACGATGACACCACTAATCTATAAATCTCATCTAGACATATAAGTAATATCACTGAAAATAACATTATAGAAAATGGAAAATTTGGCCATGAAAATGTTCCTTCATTTAGTCAACCTTCGCATACGCAAAGTAATAATGTGCCCACGGTTGAGAATCATGAATTCAGATGCATGACGACAGTGATTCAATTTTATCGCACGATATGTTTTCTTGTGTTATTAGAAGTCATAATCACGAAAAATAAAAATATACACGGAATCAACGATAACTCGCTACAGCGATGCCGCCGCCGCGGAGGACATTGCCGTGCAGAAGTGAAAACAACGCAGCCAGATGGACTTAACTACCGGTATGTATTAATTGTATGGGCCTGCTTGACTGACTTAATTCGTTTAATTTCTACTTCTTGTACATGTTCGTAACTGACCTTTTTCTCAGAGAATTTAAATTGCTAATCCTGTATGAACTGATGTCGACGTGCGTAGGAAGTGCAGAGTAAGCCTACTTGATGCCATTTTTTCGGTCTGAATCTTGATGAACAAACAAAATAACCCGTCGACATATCTAAATGGCTATCCGCCTGGTTCTCGAAAAAAAAACAGTTATATTATGCTAATAAATGCGTTCCGTTCAATGGAAAATACTAAAAAAAAACTACCGCTACTACAGGGTGCGGCAGAGAGGACGGACGTTTTTGGGATGGGTAGTACTCACCGCCTCCGTCTACGAGAGGGGTGGGGAGAGTGCCGTTTAACTCGTGATTGTTTCGTCCGAAATAATGAGCCAGTCATCATCGTACAGCGTGAGTTTCGTCGCCACTTCAACATTCATCGAAATAGAGCTGTTCCCTCTCGAAACACCATCCTTCGTTGGGTTGAATCACTTCGCAGGCGTGATGAACTGATCAACAGAAGACCAAGAGGAGCGCCGCGAACAGTTCGAACTCCTGAAAATGTTGAACGCGTTCGACAGGTCTTCCTTCGCAGTCCGACTCGATCTGCCCGGAAACATGCTGCTGCACTTCGCCTTAGTGATCGTTCGGTAAGGCGAATTTTGCATATGGATCTCCGCTTTCACCCCTACAAATTGGATGTTGTGCAACAGTTACAGCCCGGAGATTATGCACAACGAATGAACTTCGCACGTGAGATGGAAGCACTGATCGATCAAAATGAGAACCTCATTTTGTTTATGAGTGACGAAGCCCACTTTCACCTAAACAGTATGGTTAGCCAGCAGAATTTTCGTTATTGGGCTAATGAAAATCCGCAACAGTTACACGAAAGACCGCTGCACAGCCCAAAAGTAACGGCTTGGTGCGCTGTATCGCAAACTTGCATCATTGGCCCTTACTTCTTCGAAGACGGTAATGGTCGTGATGTTACCGTGAACTCAGAGCGCTACGTCGACATGATCACCGACTTCTTTCTCCCTGAATTACGACGGAGACGTGTTCCAATCCGACGTGTGTGGTTCCAGCAGGATGGGGCGACCGCCCACACAGCCCGAGCATCCATGGACGTTATTCGCCCTCTCTTCCCTGGTCGCCTTATTTCCAGGTTTGGCGATGTTCATTGGCCTCCTCGGTCCCCAGATTTATCCATATGCGATTTTTTATTATGGGGACACCTCAAGGCTAGAGTATACGCGAACAAGCCCCGAACTCTGGACGAATTGAAGGGCGAAATTCGCGTGGAAGTCGCCCAAGTTGAGAGAGCGATGTTGGAGAGAGTCTACGCGAACTTCCAAGAACGCCTCCAGCACTGCATCAACGATTTCGGCCACCACATGCCTGATGTGATTTTCCGAACTTGACTGTCTCAAATGCTATTTCCTTGTGAGCCTGATTCCATCAATAAATTTGTTTTCGAGTAAAAATTAACTATTTTATGCTTTTTTTAAAACCGTCCATCCTCGCTGCCGCACCCTGTATATGTAGGTACCATTCGAGTACAAAATATATTTAATGTTATCTGTATCATATCATATTAATTCCGAATGAATTCTCATCTTCTTGACCCACATATTGACTGGTTCGGTGCTGTAACATGGAATTGTGTTAAGATTATGGTTATTATAAATATATGGGGGTAATATGTTTAATATACAGGGTGGTCCAACGAAAACGGCGCACCCCTATTATTTGTGACTCTCCTAGATGCATGAAGGGAGTTCCGAAAGCATCGTACTCGCCGCTAGAATACAGCGGACCGAATAAATGTTGTCGGCATGCGATACGCCGCCCCGTGGCCATAGTCTTAAGGTAGTATCAGACACAGCTAGTTTTACTGCGCAAAAGTTGCGTATTATGTTCACACATAAGCAGAAAGTAGCGCGAAATGCAAGAACATTTAGCAGCAGTCAGTGTCTTCGTATGTCATAGAAAAACTTTGTCTTGAAATTGTTAAGTTACCTACCAAGTTGTGATAAATATTGAACAATAACTTATTCAATTCAAGAAAGGGTAGAAATAACAAAACTGTATTTACCAAAATGGAAGCACTGCAAGAGCTGCTGCCCGGTCCAGACAAAAATATTAACGATAAGTATGTGGCTAAGTTGATAAGAAAAATTTGAAGAAACTGGATCCGTGTCTAATATTCGCCGCTAGTCGCCATCGAGAAAGTCGACCCGTTACAAATGAAGCAGCAGAAAAAGCAGTTTTGGAATACGTAGCACTTGACAACACCCAAGGCACTCGTGGAGTGGCTACTACTTCAGGATTTACACGCTGAAGAGTACAAAGAATTTTGAATGATGATACACTTCACCCGTTAGCTTAATGAAGACGATTTTGATAGATGGTGGAGTGTTGCAAATGTCCCAATGTTTAATCTGTTATTTATTGTTTGTTTCTCGGATGAGTGTAAGTTCCATTTACATGGTGCTGTAAATAGACATAATTGTCAGTAATGGAGTGACTCGAATCCACATTAG